ATAGTAAATAAAATAAAATAATTGCTTTATATATTTTATATATATTATAATTTATACTTATATAATATATAATTATTGGAAGGTAAATACATAAATTTATTCTCATAAATAAAATATTTATACTCGTTCATATGCACAAAATTGTTTTTTAAAAAGTGCAAGGGTCAGACTCCCTGCTATGCAACTTCTTAGAGTTCAGTGTCCATGTTTTGACTGGCCTGCTGCACACGTTTGTAAGACTCGTGCAGTCAAACATGACAGATAATTAAAAGTTTCATTTGAGGTACTTAGTAGCACCTAAACAGGATATCCTCAAATCACACTTGTATATTCTGCCTTGATTTCAGTCATATTACAAAAATTCTTACCAACAGAAATTCCACATGAATTTTGTGATTTTACATTTCATTAAAAAAACATACAAAAAATAAAAAAACAGCTGACAGTTTTAAATGCCACTCAGGAAGCCCTTTCTTGTCTGAGTGGGGGAATATAAGACAGAAACCATTAATGTGCAGTGTACCAGGCTTTGTACAGATAATAAAACATCTGCATCTTCGGAGTAAAGGTCTCTTCCGCTGGCTGAGGTCCAGCTCTATAGGTCAATTTAGACAACACACACACAAAGAGAACTGAGTGCACTGCTACTCTTTCTTCTGGTGTCAGCAGCAGAGATGAGTGAGACAAAGCCACACAAGCGCTCGGTCTCCCCCGACCACAGGAAGAGCTCTGTTTGGAATCTGTCAAGTCAAAGCCTCCCTGTCGTCCAGCTCTGTGCTTTACGAGCACGTCTGAGAGAAGAGGGACAGAACCGATGACCTCATGCTTCAATAGCACATTACTCATGTCTCCATAAACCACTGACGCCAAAGACAGGGAAATCAGGGGAGGAGCGGACCTTCATTGTTGGCAAGTAATACCATTAATGGATCTCCTGCACTATATAAAAGCCGAGCTGCTGATGGGATTGGCAGGCCTCGGATCAATGACTATGCAAGCCTGCTCATCTCATTACAAAGATAAGCTGATATGAATCAGTGCACAGTCAGCAAATATGCCTGACCTTGTATTTACACATGTGACCGCCCACCATTCACTCATGAACCACACTCAGACCTTTCATTGACCTCAAAATATAGGCCTTTTTTTTCAAAACAATCTGATTGGCTGTTTCTATAAAACTTCTGCACAGGTTTTATCAGTCAGGTAGGAAACAAAATTGCATTTACAAGGTACCAGGTTGTTCCAAAGAGCACTTCAGAGGAAGAACTACAGTAGATGAGGTTTGTTGCAACATTGAATCCTTGAAGAATGAGATATTTTGTTTAAGCAAGTAAATGGGAAACTTTAGCTAATACATAAGGCATCAAAAGCTAACAACGTACAGCATTTTAACAATTTATTAATCTAGTTTAATGTTAATCTCAACTAATGTCAATAGACAACATTTGATTTAAAATGATAGTAGTAAATGTGGGAAATCAGGGTTATAGATAGTTAAAACAAACTAAAAATAAAAAAATAACTTTTTAACTTAAAATAAATGTAAAAAAATGTTAAATTAAATTAAATAAATATCAAAATATATTTAAACATTTCTCATTTTAATTTGGGTTAACTTGACGTTCAAATACAATTTTAATTTATATTAACCATAGGCATGCATATTAAAACATAACTGCTAAAAATGACAAAAACACAACTTATTCAAATTATTAGCTGAAATTATATCAAATTATAAACAAAAACAGAAAATATAAAAATAAAAACTGGTTCAAAAATGGAATAAAACCTATTATAGTATTTCAATGATACTAAAATAAGACTGGTTGAAATGAACTAGTGCTGTCAAATGATTAATCGCGATTAATCGCATCCAAAATACAAGTTTTTTTTACATAATATACTGTATGTGTGTGTACTCTATATTTATTATGTATATATAAATACACACACATGCATGTATACATTTAAGACAAATATGTTATGTTTATATATTAAATATATTTATATATAATATAAATTATATGAATATAAATATATAAATGTAAATATTTTCAAAATATATATTGTATGTGTATGTATTTGTATATACATAATAAATATACACAGACACACACACACATATATTATGTACACAAAAACTTGTGTTTTGGATGCGATTAATCACGATTAATCATCTGACAGCACTAAAATTAACATTAACTAAAATTAATAAATATGGTTGAAGTATTGTTCATTGTTAGTTCATGTTAACTAATGCTGACTAATGTTAACAAACAAAAGCTCAGTGTTACCCAATGAGCAAAAGTATATTATATAGGCTATATTTATGAATATATTTTAGATTATTACTGTAAACATTGTTGTTCATTGTTAGTTCATCACAAAAAACTTAATGTTAACAAATCTGATCTTATTTTAATGTGTAATCGGGATATCTTTGAACAGTATATTCTGCTTTGTTTGAATTTTGTTCATGTAATCTTTGGGCGGATGGAAATTCAGAACCTTTTTTTATTTTGCATGAGTTACTGGTTTTCTGCATTGTTGATCAATTATTGTGTTATATTGAGGTCAATTTCATATTTAGCTGTCGTAAATGTCACATAAATAAGCCTACAGCACCACTTCTTCACATACTCTCGTCAACAAGTTGAGCAGGATAGTGTTTTTCCACAACACTTGTCTTGTAAAACAAGGTTACACTAAGTCGAGCCAGCAAATGAACCCTAATAAGAGAACATTGAATTTAATCAGCTAACACACCAAGTCATTGAATTGTGCCTAATAAAGTCTTGATATGTGATTCTGTTTTCAAAAAGAAACCATAAAAGCACCCAAAGCACAGTCTGTTTCACAGAAATCAGAAGGGAATCTCAAAAATAATTCAGTGCTTATGTTATGAGATGATGTAGGATAAGCATCATTGTTTGAGCTGTTATATAAACAAAAGCTTTTATTAGTGTTATTTTAGTACTATTTATAGTATGTAATAATATTTTGATTTAGCTTTTATTTTCAGTATTAATTTTACTTTTAGTTTAAGTTTTAGTAATTTTATTATGTGCTTTTGTCATTTTTATACATTTTTGTTTAATAAAAATATTTAAATTTAGCTTTATTTTTCAGATTTATTCTTAGTCATTTTTGTTAGTCTTTTTTTTTTATTATTTTTTTTTACATAATTTATTCCAATTAGTTTTTCATCTTTGTTTAAAAAAAATGTATTTAATTTAATTACCAAAAATGCTGTTCTAGTTAAGAATAACAACAATGAACAATTTGTTCATTCGGTCAGTCATTTGTACCTTAACCTAATTAGTCTGGTTTAAATTTGTACCTTAACCTGAAAACAATCAATGTATATCTTTGAGAGGATTCACATTTTATTCAGTGTGCATCTAGATTAACTTTCCACACCACCAGAATCAACAACAACTTCAGCTAAAGCACTTTTTGTGTTACTCAATATTTTCTGTTGCAATAAAAGAAGCTTGATGTACACTCCGGCATTACAACACCAACTCTCCTCCGGATCTCTTCCAAGGAGCCTGTTCTCTCAGTATGGAAGAGAAATCTCTGTTTTGGGAAGATCATTGTAGGGTTGAACTCTGATAATAGGGCTGTTTCTCTCCGGTGAGCAGAGCTAGAAGAGAAATGAGGGCAGAAAGCCCAAACACTCACAGATCTACTAGAGTATGACTAAAGATTGACCACGCAGAGCCAACGAGAAGATTCAAGTTACTTTACACACAACATGAACACTTTCGCACAGAGTTATTCACAGCAGATTTTTCACTATACAGTCTCAGCCCAGAGCTAAATTCAAATTTCTATGAAATTTTGCAGTTTTCATCAGAATTCCATGTGGTTTTGACCGATATCATATGAATGTCACCATTTCAAACATGAGAACTTTATAAGAAAAGCTCTGCAATGAGGAAGTTTATCTGCATGAGATTCTGTGTAAAACAAGTTATCAAGTAATG